CTTGCAATTTCCAGGTACGGGAAATGCTAACTCAAGCTGTTGCTTGAAGCAGGTGTGTCACTGTGTCTGATGAAAGAGGACCTCAGACATGTATAAAAGGGTTGCCCAGGCTCTTGGATCAGTACAACAGACCCATCCTCTGCAAACGCTTCTTGGAGACAAGGGTAAGTAGCACTGCAATGATTCTTGCAGGAAATAAGATGAGGGAAGAAGCGATTTTGAATATCACTTCATGCCATGCCTGTTTTATTCCAGGATGATGATTTCTGCTTGGGTCAGGGTAGGAGGCTGGTTTTGCTTAAACAAGACAAGTATATATTAATGGCATTTCTGTGCTGTTTTTAGTGGCGGTGTAATTGTTTCTGCTGGCAGGAGAGCGCCCTTCAGGAGTGTCACTTATCAAAGAACAGGGTCTCTGTGCTCAGTGTCTGTGGTGAAAGGGGTTTGCTGCCCAAAGAGGAGAGGGAGATTCAGAGAGGAGGAGGTCAGGCAGAGGCTGCAATGGAGCGTGTACCTGAACTGTGCTCCCTCCTTGCCTTAAAGTCATCCTTGCTGACATTGGCATGGTACAGATACGTGAATGTAGCCCAATGGCTTTGTCTACTTTGCCTGAAAAATGCCTCCAGGTCAGTAAGAACAAGCCATTTCTTGGGCAAAGCTAAAATTAGAAGCAGTTGGGCGTTGCTGTAAACCAGCGATATTCCTAAAACCACTTATTACCCACTCAGCACCGAGGAGCTGTTGACTGCCCCCAGGCATGCTGGGTGCTGCTGGTTCGCTCAGCCTGAAAGAGATAGGGGTCCTTGGTGCAGATCTGCTGCTATGCTACGGAGGTGCAGTGCAACCCCAACCTTGAGGTGGGGGCTAAGGGCATGGCATGGGGTTCCTGGTTTTTGATGCATCTCACGGCTTTGAGGTTTCTCCACACAGTTTCTGTAGGTACCTCAAGAGCTCAGCCATGTCTGCAGGCCTCCAGACCACAACCACCTGTCCTGAGACTCGGCAGTTCCCTGGAAACTGCACGCTGGAGATGGCCCTGAATACCATTGTGAACATCTACCATCAATACAGCATCCGTCATCCCCACCGTGACCTCCTCGACTTCAACGAATTCAGTACACTGCTGAAGGAGCAGGCATGCACCTTCCTGCAAGCTTGTGTGAGTGCCACAGATGCTGTGTTGTGCTCCCCGGAGGGATGCTCTCGTTGGGAGGTTTTGGTGGAGGGATGAGTTTGCCTCCTGGGATGGTCCTGGGGGAATGGGATGCAGTCCCCACCAAGGGCTGTGGTCCACTGAGTGGGTTTCTGTGATCAGACCCAGCTTGTCCATGTGCTGTGGGACTATCCACACTCATCCCTCCTGCCACTGCATGGTATGGAGCAGCCCAAAGGGCTCGGGACAAGAACCTCTCCATCTGGGGTTTTAACTAACTTTGGCTACCTGCAGCGACACTGCAGCTTCCAAACACTTCCCATAACATGCAAAAATAAAGCTGGCTTGGTTTCCACCACTGGGTGTGCAAGCCCAGGGAGGGAGCATGCTAACACATATCCTGTCCCCCAATTTCAGGACAGGAACCGTCCTGGCTACCTGCGGCAACTCTTTGATGAGTCAAACATATATAAGGGCAGAGAGCTGACTTTCAAGGAGTTCACCTGCGTCTTGGCCAAACTGGCCAATGATGCCCATCACATCAGCCACAATGAGCCCCGCTGTGGACCTGAGAGGGATTGAGTCTCGATGCACAACCCATGGAAAACTCACAGGGGGTTGCTTGTAGGAACTGGGCTCTGTCTGCTTTCTGTCTGCTTGGATCACTCATGTCTGTGAGACAATAAAGCATTACCTGAAGTTCACCGAGTCCTTCCTACCTCAGCGCTCCCTTTCGCATCCATCTCATGGTTGGGGAGGGTGGGCACCAGCTGCAGCGGGATGCATGGTCCAGCTGGAGCTGTGGGATAAAGGTTTACCTAAACAGGCACCCCAAACACCTGTAAAGGAAGAGGCTTATAAAGATTGAGATGAGTGGGCAAGAGTCGTATTGCTCAGCATCTGGTCCAAGCTGAGAGGGCTGGACTGATGGGCTGAGAGAGTGTTAATGGCCAGAAGACCAGTGCAAAACAGCTTTGCAAGAGGCTTAACCATCACCTGCGCCATATATTAGTTGTATTAAAGGTTTTTCTCCTGGCATAGGAAGTTTTCTGTATAGACTGGGAAGAACAGAGCCTGCCTAGCTTGGGGAAACATGTCCTGTTTTGCCCATCTCATTCAGTTTTTTCACCTTGGTCACACCAAGTGCGTCCTCTGGATGCAGAATCATTTGTGAACAGGAAAAATGCATCAATACCCATGACAACAGCAGTTCACAACAGAACACAGCCTCCACCACAAGAACAAACCAGGATGCTCTTAGGAAAAAACAAAAACAAAAACCAAACCTCCAAAACAAACCCACACAAATTACTAGCTGTATACATTGTTCTCCATGGAGAAATCTGAGATTTAAAATTTTCTCCCCAAATCCCAATGAAAACTCAAATTTCAGAGTTTTCCCCCACACACAAGTCACCCAAAGTGCTTTCTTCCAACCTTGCTGAATCACTCGGCTACCCAGACAAGATGAAATGCCCGGGTGGTTTCCATCTTGGAGTTTTCCACCAGTAAAGTATTCTCACCAAAACCCTGAAGGGCTCCAGCAGGGCACAGGGACCTTGTCCCTGGCTGAGCCATCTGAGAGATGTCTTGCAGCACCAACAAACCATTTCTGGGTCCTAAATACACTGTAATCCAGCTCTTTTGCTCACCAAATGCTCAGGTACCACACTCCATGGGGCTGAGCAGCCTGCTGCCCCAGCAGAAGCAAAAGCAACACTTTGCATGTCGTAGCACAGGCAGGAAGGACAAGTGCAATGGCCAGATTGAGCCCTGCGATCTGCCAGAGCTCCAGAAGGGCTTGGAGAGTGTCCAGCACCCCGCAGCAGTTGTTCCATGCCTGTACTGGCAGCAGAGCTGGTGCTCAGCTCCTTTTGGGCTGGACCAAGGTGGTTCCAGCCCAGCAACTGAGTCTGTAGCTGTTTGATATGGCTGAGACATACGTGAATACTTTTTGGCACGAGCTAAAGGACTGAGAAATCCTTTCCCCTGGAGGTCCAGGATGGGAAAACCTCTAGGCTGCCCCAGCTCCGGTGCTGGCTTCTCACATCAGATCACTGCTGGAGCATCACTGCTGTGATGATGCTTAAAGGTACCCAGGAGACAGGGCTTAGGTTATATCTTCAGCTTTCCCCATGCTAAAGCAATATCCAGCAACCAGAACATATGTCCTGTCCTGATCCTGGTCTGAAACCTTCTGTGAAACACAGCAAACCACAAAGTGACAAACCCTGCTGTGCCCTCTTCCTGCATCAGCCAGCCACTTGCCCGTAAACGTGTATTTTGAAAGAGTTTTGCAACGGTTGTCAAGCATTGGGTGCCCTGCCAGGGCTCAGGTCCTCAGGGCACAACCAGCACCAGTCATCTCAAACCAGATCTTTTTCTTGCCACGCCTATCGGGCTGCTGGCACATTACCTGCTGCCTGCTTCCCACTCCTTCCCCTCTCCAGCTCCAGCAAGGGGGTGCTAGCTCACCCCTGTTGGCCAGGGGGCCAGGAGTCCAGCGTGCTGCAGCCACTTCAGCATGGCTTGCAGGCACAGCTGGACAGGGGTGGCTCCCCCCGCAAAGACACCTGCAGCGCCAGGCAGAAAGTTGTGCTAGCACATGTTCCTGCGACCCTAAGCGATACCCAGGCTCCCCGGTCACCTTAGTGACTGCACTGGCATTTAAAGACCTGGGGTCTCATCCCTGCTGCCTGGTGGGCGCATCTGAGGGTCCAGACACCATCTCTCTTAGGAAATCCCTGGCCCACCCCATACCCTGTAATCCCTCCTTGTCCTTCCCTAACTCTGACAGGATAAAATGACCAAAAATACGGTTTCCTGAAATTGCTACAAAATTCTGCAACCCAGCTGATGCTCCCTGACACCCTGTTGTGAAACGCCCTGGCCCTTCCCCGGCAGTTTCGTGCATCAAAGCACCCGTGTTGTGAAATGCAGGGAGGGCTGGGGTCCAGGTGGCCGCTGCACAGGGTCCAGGGCTGCATCCCCCAGCAGCTCCCTGCATGGCTCATCTGGAGCTCACCGGAGGACTGTCCATGGCCCTGTTTTGTCCTCTATTGTGTCTGCATGCTTGGCAGGTTAAACATATCCCCAACCAAGTCAGCTGAATCAGCAGGCAGAGTATTTTAATGAAGCAGCACTGGAAAATCTCGTTTTTCTCCTGATTGTAGCTGCTCCAAGCCAAAGCGCCTGCACCGGCTCTCTGCAACACTGAGAAACAGCAGACAAAGAGACACCACAGAGTGAGGACACAGCCCTAAAAAGTAAAAATACACCTTTCAGCCACACCTACTCAGAGCATACCTCAGATGGGGAGAAACCACCCTTGGCACAGGCTGTTGCTAACCTGAGGAGACAAAATAAAAGTCCTGGAGCCCTGACAAGATGGGAACCCACCCCATATTGTTTTTCTTTCATAAAGAACTGCTGGCTGCAGGCAGGGGATGGGCCCCCAGTGCTGGGGCACTGCCCTCGGCACCAGCTCTGTCCCCGTGTCATGCAGGCAACCCTGATGATGCTGTCAGAGCTGGGCTGTGTGAAGGAGGGGGATGATTTTGGGTGCAGAGTACGGTGCAGTGCTTGTGTGCACCAGGTCTGCAAGGGTGGAGGGTGCTACGGGGCCAGGCAGTGCTGGATTGCTGGATAAGTGATATCCTGTAGTGACAGGACAAGGGGTAACGGGTTTAAGGTAAAAGGGGAGATTGAGACGGGCCATCAGGAAGGAATTCTTCCCGCAGAGGGTGGGAGCACTGGGACAGGTTGCCCAGAGAAGCTGTGGGTGCCCCATCCCTGGGAGTGTCCAAGGCCAGGCTGGATGAGGCTTGGAGCAACCTGCGCTATGGAAGGTGTCCCTGCCCATGGCAGGGGGTGGGACTGGGCAGGCTTTAAGGTCTCTTCCATCCCAAAGGACTCTGATTCTCTAAGTGCAGGCATGATGCTGTGTGTCCCCTTTAATGTGTGGGATGAAAAAAACCACCACTCTAGAGAGTAAACCAGGCAAAATTGAAGAATCCGAATAGACTGCTGTTGAAAACTGATGGAGAGTCACAGCCCTGATACCCAGGTGGAGGGGGTGAAGGGGACCCAGCTGTGGGGACATGGCCACTTCCCTGCCACCTAGTATGTGACACACCGACCTTGCGGGAAAAGCCACAGAGACCCCTTTTAAGGAACTACCCTGGAGCCTTAAGCAACACACAAGTGTGTCATGAAAATGGACTGGAATTGGATGAAACAGACATTTTGCAACCGGTGGGGTGGCGCAGGGGGACAGCTGAGCTATAAGAACTGCTGGTCTCCAGACCAGACATGCTCCAATCTGAGTGGATCTCGTTACTCTGCGAAGATGAGCAAGGCAAGTTCAATGGTGACTCGGGCATTAAGGTCTCCATGCTCTTTTCCAGGTGCCGCTTGGGCCATCGGAGCTGCAAGAACCCTCAGGGAGCCTCTCTTTGCCGTATGAGCTGCCATCAGTTGCTGGCAGAGGATAACCATCTCTGCTCAAGCTCATCCAAACACAATGCACAAGGAGAGAGGTTTCCTTCTGGAAGAGGCTCCCCACAGCACAGTCTGACCACTGAAGGGGCTCTGGGCCATCAGATCTCATATCCTGTATCCCTACAGAGGTTTTTGCAGGGCCAACAGCTATTTTGGAAGCCTTGCTTGACTTAGAGCAGGCACATTTTTGGAAGAAATTAGCTCTCAGCTATTATTTCTAGCTGCACATCCCATAGCAGAAGCAGGCAAATGCTGCAATGCCCCCCTTCGGCTTGTAGATAAGAGAAAACTCAAAACAAACAGTTCAAATTTATCACCTGAAAAAAGAGTAACAGAGGAAAATCAGGCTGCATCCTCATCTGGTGTGAAGCTAGTGGCTGTACTGAGCCTTGATGTTTTACACCAGAATTCCCGATCTACTGGGGCTCCTGACATTATTCAGTGTAATTGTTTCTCTTCCAGATCTCCCAGTCCCAGGAACCACTCTCCGAGCTGGAGAAGTCCATGGATGCCATCATTGATGTCTTCCACCAGTACTCAAGACGGGAAGGGGATAGAGACACCCTGAGCAAGATGGAGCTGAAGCTTCTGATTGAGAAGCAGCTTGCGAACTACCTGAGGGTGAGTGGAGTCAAAGCAGGGTTTCTCGTGGCCCACATTGGGAGGGAGCTGGGCTGGACCCCATTGCCTGAGTATCTCCACAATCTGGATGCACTCCCTTCCCGCTCTGCTCTCCTGTCCCACATCTTCTGCCTGGACTCTTCCTGTTCAACTGCCACTTTCCAAACATGCTGCATAAAGACAGATGAAAGAAACCCACACCCAGGTCTGGGTGAGCCTGCAGCCAGATACTTACCTTCAACTTATCTGCAAAAGTCAGGATCCTATCACCCAGGACGTCCTTTGCCATCTAGGAGCTATGGTGTCAGAAATACCAACTAAAAAAGCCCATTTTTTGGTAACTCACTTTGCTAAAACTGAAGGTAAAGTGTTTCTAAACCAGCACACTAAAGGAGAGGTTTGTGGCTGACGTAACACTGTAGAACTTCATCGTTCTACGCGTTGCAGTGTCCTTGCAGTGATGCTATCCTGTTGCCCTCCGATTGCTTTATTGCCGTGGGTGAATCGTTGCTGTACCCAAAGTAAAGGGTGATAATAGCACAAGGGTGGAACCACTCCTAGCTCTGAGGGTACTGCTGAGGGTCCCAGCACAACCTGGGGGAGGCTTGAGCAGTGAATGACAGGACTTTGCCCTCACCTTGTCCCTTCCTTCGCAGCATGTGAAAAACAAGGCCACCATTGATGAAATCATGAAGGACCTCGATATCAATAAGGATGCGCAGATCAGCTTCTGCGAGATGATGTTGCTGATCACCCGGGTGACCATTGCCACCCACGAGCACCTCCACGAGGTCGAGGACCAGCAGCACCAACAGCAGCACAAACACCAACACCACCACTGAGGTGGGCTGTGGTCTCCGGCCAAAGGCACCCATGAAGAGCTTGCAGCCCCTGGCTTTCCCCCCTCCTTTTCTTCCTTCAAGTTTGATGGTTTTGCTGCCAAATAAACATTTGCCCTGAGGCTGTCAAAGCTATTCTGTGTGTCTGCGTGGGTTTTCCTGGAGGCAAGTCCTGCACCTCACTCCCTCCCAGAACAGCTTTAAGCCAGGCAAATCCATCTTGGAGATGGGCTGCAGGTTCCCAGGGAGGAGGTGGATACCTGGGGAGAGCAGAGTTCACTACAGTGGGGGCTCACAATATACCCTAACATGCTCCGTAGGCCAGGGAAGGCAGTATAACTTGACAATTCTTTGCATTTCCAACTGGAAAAAAAGCCTGTTCAGGCCTGAAAACACTCTGCATGTCTCTTAGGACTGAGCCGTGGGGGTCAGTGAGGGCTGTAAGGATGGGGATGGATGAGCACTCTTGTCTGAAGAGCTTTTTCTCTGCGGGGCCCTGGGCTGGAAGGGAGCTGGGGGGCGGACGCATTTGAATTTTAGTGCTACAACCAGCAGAGAGGTCTGACTGCTGGGTTTTGTGTCATCAAGAACTGAGAACCACCCCAACTCCTCACTCAGAGCACCCCGAGTTTGCACTAAGGTGTCCCTTATCAACAGCGCCTTTCCAGAGGGGATGGCTGGAAATGCCTAGGAGCGAGCAGCCTCCCACCGTGGGTGCTTCCGCCTGGCTACTGATTTGCAAATGCCTTTTACAGGGGGAAAAAGGAACAGTTGTGATTTCCTAAGGGCGAGTCAAAGCCCTGAAATCCCCCTGCCTTGTGAAGGAACCTGCCATGAGCTTCCCCAAACCAGCAGCACTGAAGCAAGCCCCCTGGTTAACACAAGACTGCCACAAGTTTGCATCACCGCCAGTGACCAGGTTGCTTCAGCTTCCTTTGGAGTCAGTTTTGACATCTGAAGCCTCAAACACCTTCTTAGAAGGTAAAAATCTACTGCAGGGACTGGAGTCCACTCAGCTCTGCCTGAGCCTGCACAGGGTGGCAGGTCCCCTTGGGAGTCAGGTCCTGCATCCCGGCATGGGTCATGCACCCAATCCTACTGCACTTTAGGGTTCCTGGACCAGGTAAGAGCTCCGCACTCAGGGGAAGGTGGAGCTGATTCACTGCCACCACCCTGCCAGGGCAGAAGCACATCACCTCTCAGAACTGGTCTGTCCCCAGGGCTGCCCCATAAGTGATGTCCAGCTTTTGGGACAAGGGCTGTTCAGGCCCCATGGGCAGCGGATCTGCTTTTCAGGAGCTCAACACTTGGTGGGTGGCCAGCCCTTCTCTGCAGAGGCATCTCTCTGCAGGGGCCAAACACACCAATCTGGGTGCTGGGGACACCCACAAACCACCCTGGGACCTTCCCCCAGGATCCAGGCAGGAACCAGCCTCAAAGCTTGGGATGCTGATGAAACAGGATATTTGCCAACACAGTGGGACTTCACGGTCCCCTGAAACCCAGGGTGCAGGACTCCTGTTGTCACCCACTGTAGGACAAACCACTGCATACTTGAGCGCAGCAGGACCAGGACACCAACACAGGGATAAGAGCAAGCAGAGCTGATCACTGGGTCCCCCTTAATAGCAGAGCAAACCCCAAACCTGTACACACCTTGTCACCCCAGAGAGCTCAGCTCCCAGACAGAAGGGACACCAAAGCAATGCAAGGAAGGTGTTGGATACACCCCAACTGCACTGTATCCCGTGCTGCAGAGGGATGCTCGCTCCGGCTAATGGAAAAGGTCCTCTGCCACACTGTCTGTTTGGGGATGGCACCTGGATTCCTCCAGCCTTGCTGCCCCAAGAGCAGTTCTCCAGCAGCACGAAGCTGGAGGTGTGCAGCCCGCAGCCCCACCTGCCTTCAGCCCCGGGTTATACGGCAGGATTAGACCTTTCCAAGCGAGGACCAGGCGGTCTGTGGCAGGTTCCTGCTGCCACCTGGTGGCTTTTGCCTCCGAGGCTACTGGTGTGGCCACCAGCCTCGGAAGCCTCGTAGTCCTGCCCTGCTCCCCAGGGTTACACTCTGGTCCATCGATCACAGCCAGAGCCCTGTCCTGCGACCCCCATTTCATCACGCCCCCTGTGCTCTTTGCAGGAAGGAGGGTTATTATGATTTGTGTGCCAGAAACAAAAACTTGATTTTTGGGCTAAGCTGGCAGCATCAGGACACAGACTGATCTGCAAACACCCAAAAGTCCTCTCTCACAGCCCCCCTGCTCAAGCCACCACACAGTTTTGCTGGTAGGGGCACCTTTTTCAACACTACCACATTAGCTCTTCTTACCTGTGTCCTGTGGGGAGCAGGAGAAGGGAGAAACACCTCAGAAGGTTACAGATCAAAGAGGCAGGCAAATGGCAGATACATGCTAAATCCTCTTCTCCTTTCCCTGCTCAGGGGGGTTGTACCCCACGTGTTCTCCCTGAGCTTTGCCCCAGTGCCATCAGCCTGCATTCACACCCTGCTGAGGGTCCCAGGCTGGCCCCTGCCTAAGGACTATATCTCCCCTAACGATCACCTTATCCTGTCCTTCACATTGCTGACTCCCTCCCAGAGCTCACAGGCACCCTGCTGAGGGTCCCAGTCCGGCCCCTGCCTAAGGACTGTATCTCCCCTAATGATCACCTTATCCTGTCCTTCACACTGCTGACTCCCTCCCAGAGCTCACAGGGTGGAAAAATGGGGCTGAAACCTGCAGGGCTGTGTTTTATGAACGACCCTGCAATGGGATGATGCATCCCAGCTGGGGCTGAGATCCAGCATCCCCACCCTACCCAGTCACCCAGGTCCCCCTCCACCCACTGCTGACCTTCTCCACCTGCTGCAGACCCCTTTCATCCCTCACAGACCCCCCACACCCGATGCAGGGTCAGCAGCTGGTGGCTGACACAGGAAGGGTTGGGCAATGCCCAGCACTGTGGCAACTGGGGACTTGGCTGAGCGTGTGCGTCGCATTCGTTATCAGTCTAGACACACAGATAGGGATGAGCCACGGTGGGGTAAAACTGGTCAGTCCTGGGGTGCCGGTGAGGCCCGTGGCCAGGAGCTGACCCACTGTCATGGGCAAACCCATGCCCGGAGCCCAGCAAAGCCAGCCTGACGCTGCTGTGGATGGGGACGTGCCACTGCGGGATGGCACCGTGGTGGCAGCAGGCTCAGAGGGAGTAGCCGGTGGAAGGGACTGGGTCAGAGTGATTCAGAGCAATTTTCCTCCTAATTCCCCTCATTCCCTGGGCGGATGTGCGCTAATTGGGGTGTAGGGAGGAGTACGGTGGTTGTAGGTGCCATTGTCATGCACTGCCCTCCCATCCTCCTCCACAAGAGCTTCCTGCCTGGAGCAGTGGCTTCTGCATCACCATGCCTGGCCCCCCTCCCAGTATCCCCAGTCCTTCCCATGCCTGGACATGGAAGGACACCCTCCCCATGGTAGTGATGTTCTAAGATCATTCGTACAGAAATAGGGACCTGCCAACATAAAGCCTTAAACCCTGAGCACTTGGCCATCGCCACAACTCCAGCCCATGAGAAAAGAGTCCTTTACCTGCACCTCCATCAAGGGCATGGCTGGGAGCAACAGGCACTCCAGCTCATGGGAGAGACGTCGTGGGGATGTCAGTATCTGTTGGGTTTGTGCTAAGCACAAGGCTGTAACCTGAAAGGCTGCAGGGTAAATTGCTCTGCTGTTTGTGCCCAGTTGCCTGGTCATCCCAAATATAGCCCTGAAGTGAGTCCTCAAGGGCTGGGGCTATTCCAAAACTTCCAGGGGACCATAAGTTGTGAGAGCAACCGCTGGGCTGATCCGGCTTCCACCAAAAGCATCCATGTGCCGGGCAGCCCTTGCTGCAGAGGGCCTGCAGTGACTTGCTGTCTCTCGCCAAACTGTGCCAGGGTAAAATTTAGCTCTAGACCATGGTCTGCATCTCATTTACAACCCACTTAATTGCAGAGATGTCTTGTGCTGCACTGGCAGTCAGCAGTGGTACGTGGGCGGCACAGGTTGGCTCCAGCAACCCCTCCTCTCCCAAACACGCTGCTGCGAACCCATCCCTGCCTGGGAAGATTGATGTAAAACGTGATCTCATCTGGCTTTGTACCGTATCTGGCAATCTTGGGATGGTGCCTGAGCCCTTAATGAAAGCTGGCACACCCTTCATAACAGGGAGGGCTTGTTACACCCCCCTTTCCAGGTAAGCAAACCTGGGGTCATTGACTTCTCTGAGACCACACAGAGAATCGGCTGAGAGCCAGGCGTCCTGCCGCGGCTGCCTCGCTGCAGCGTCCCCGTGGCCCCTGTCCCTTGCCCTTTCCCCGGGAGCCCTGGGGCAGCCTGGCCCCATGCACGGCTGGATGTGCTCCATGGAGGCTGAAATGCAGCCTGGCCCACGCACGGCTTGGTTTGCTCCATGGGGGATGGAACGCTGCTGGGACAGGAGGTGGCTGTCCCTGTCCCATGGAGATGTGCAGTTAATGACTTTCCCATGGGAGGGAGCTCATAGCTCCCTTGGCCATGGCCACCCGGGGCTGGTGTCACCAGGTGTCCCTGCCCTGCTGTCACTCTTGGGAGGAGGCTGCCCTGTTGGAAAAGCAGCTCAGGAAGCTTTTTCCTTTCTCACAGAAGAAATCATAGAATCACAGAATGGTTTGGGTTGGAAGGGACCTTAAAGATCATCTAGTTCCAACCCCCCTGCCATGGGCAGGGACAGCGTGGGCAAGCTGGGCAAGCATGAATGCAGTCTGCACCCAGTGGCAGCTCATACGAGACACGTGGGAGCCTCAAAAATAAGATTAAACCCACTTTTTCTGCAGGAAGTTTTGTCTATGACATTTCCTAAGTTTCAGCATTGCAACACCCCATGAACTCACAGATCACCTTGGTTGTAAAGGAAAAAACAACCCTTTGGGATAAGCTAACTACAAAATTCCGTATATGAAGAGAGCTTCTGGTTAGCCTTTTTTTTTTT